GGGGAAAAGCAGATTACTTCCTACTCGCAAGCACCCCCTCTGGTGGGGAAACGTGTTTTCAGGGATACAAACTTTTTCAGAACACCGGTAGACGGCAGCCATTACTGAAGAACATGTGTTTGTTGTTGTTCCAGGAGCGGCTCAGTCACACACTAATGTCATTAGTTTGTTATCATTAATGAGCTGCAAGACTACTCCCCCCACCTTTTTTCTCAAATCATGTCTCCTGCCTGGATCTGTTATTATCTCACTCTGAAGCATGGAGGAGTGTCAGAGGTGAGCTCATTTCAACTGCTTTTTAAAACGCGGTCTCATTTCCAGACTCAATAATTTTGTGAATGAAGCCGATATTTCAGTTAGAATAAATAAGTAAAAATATTTATCCAAGTATAGTACCACTCCCCAACTTTATGGATGGTTTTATGGATTTAATTTTATGTATTATACTTGAATAAATATGGTAATTTAAAACTTTTAGTTTTAACCAGAGGTCTATAAAATTCTTGAAAAACTATGACTATGTAAAAGAGAAGCAGAAACAACTCCTCTTATGATGAGTTGAGACAGATTTAATTTGTAATGAGTAACTAGGTGTTACATTTTAAATAAAGCAGTAAAAGTATAATTTTTAGGTTTTAAATGTAACAAAATAAAAGTAAAAGTAATTATTAAAAAACACTTAGTAAAATTGCAAATTCTCAAAAAATGACTTAAGTACTATAACAAAGTAAATGTACTTAGTTACTATAAACCTGACAAGGGGTCAGAGGGACTCTGGAATGCATCGCCCCAAATCCATACACAGGTTTGATTCTATGGATGCTTAAAAAAAAGATTGGAAGATTTTATTTTACAAACAGGCTTTTAGCTACGTTGTCACAGTTTTCACTGTGTTGCATTTAGGTGTAGGTTTTTTAAACTTGTATTATTTGATTTCATGCTTTTATTTTGAAACACTATGAATTTATATCTACGAAAGGTGCTTTATTAATAAACTTTACTTACTTTTAGTCTTAAAAACATACAGAATACTGAATTTTTTTATTTATTTTGCACATTTTAAATATTTAAAAAACAAAACCTAAATATCCTGTAACTTTTAAAGGGGACTTATTATGCAAAATTCACTTTTTAAAGTTTTTTTTACTCAACTTTGGGTATGTACTTCTTAAAAAAAACAGTCCTAGGACCAAAAAAATGCACCCAGGGGCATATTCACTGTAAGTGAAGTGGCAGAGAAGACCACTGTCAAGATGAAAAAAGATGAGGAGACATCGATTTTCGGCCAGCCGAGAGGGAGTTTATTGAGTTCAGCAACACGTTTCAACCGACAGGACAGACCTTCCAAACTGAACTGACATATTTAGAAACCAGAGCTTTTTTATACCCCAGCTGTTTATGATCATACAAAGCCAGGAAAGGGTGGGCTTTTCCCAGAATGGGCTGGAAACTTAAGACTACCCAATACACACTTATTAAATGTTTTTGTGGACTACTGATGATGTCAACTTCTCCAGAATATTCTACCAGATGTTTACGTGACCCTTATTCTGACCTTTCGTTCCTAACCGTACTGCTAGAAGCCTCAACATAAGTAAATGTATTTTTAATGTGTATTAACGTCAAGTTTTATACTTCCGTCATTTTGTGATGTCACAAGCCGTATGACAACCCACCGGAACCTGCGTTCAGCCCCTCACCTAGCAACCCCGGGGTGAAGCTCCACCTCCTCGGTATAAAAAGTCGTCACCGTGTTGTTGTGTAATGTGCAGCTCATTTCACAACAAGCCTCCAATAGGGCAATGGGTAGAGTGTTGGACCAGAGAGTGGGAGACCAGGGTTTGAGACCAGCAAAAACAATGTAATTATTTATTTTCGTTTGTTATGAACACATTTTCTCATGTACCTCTCCTATTTGTTTGAGTTTCTGAGGTATTTTGACCTCTGCTGCTCCCTGCTCTGGTAACAGCATGCAGAGTGAGCGCAGAGCAGAGGAGGGGGGGAAAAAGAAGCTGCGACCACGACTCTGCCTCTGGGTCTCATATGGTTGTACAACRGAGCTTCTGCTATTATTAGCCATGCTAACGTAAACGCTGGCTTTGGAGGGCGGAGTTAATGTCAACAGATTTTTGGAGGGCGTTACCAACAGAGCTCATTAACATAAACAGCTCTTCTGAACAGAAGTCAGAGCAGGCAGAACTAGAAAATGGGAAATTTTATTCTCTGAGAATTATGAATGAACATGGTCTGGATAGCCCACAGACGTACCATGAAATTTTCTAGGACCCATAATTGGTCTCCTTTAACAAACGTTAGTGCAAATTTTTTAGAGGATTTTTT